TTTCCTGCCTATGCAGGGGGTCGGACTCGATGATCTATTGAGGTCCCTTCCGACCCTAACATCTATGAATCTATGAATCTATAAAAACCCTTCGTCAGGCTAAGGAAGTTTCAGCAGTTGGTGTGTGCTCTTCCTGGATGGAACACTTATAGACAAGGATAGAGTAATTACAGTCTAATGAAGGCAAACCCAAAAAAATTAATCCATGATCTCTAGCACCTGTCACCTTCTCTAAGCACTTTCCAAACATTAATTAACCACACCTACCTCAAAAGGTAAGCGTAATTATACTCATTTTTGCAAAAGGGCAACGAGACAGGGATTCCATGACACGGGTAGGAACATAAAGCCAGGAAACCTGACACTCATTCTCCATTTTTCCAAAATGAGAAATTATTTTTTTTCCTACTGGAGAGGACACAAGTCAATACAGAAGATGAGATTATCATTCCATAAAAAAAAAAATGTTGTTTAGGCTGGAACAACAATTTAAGGTCTCATTTGGCAGAGCTGGTAGAGGGAGGCGTAAGTTCCAACAGAGGAAGCACCTTTCCAGCAAAAGCTCCTTGCACCCTCCAGGGACACACTTCCAGGGAAACTAGGAAGCGTGGGATATGGGACCTTGAATTCCAGTCACAGTTTCATAGACTGTATACCAATGAGAGAGTTTCCAGAGAACCAGTGGGTTCCTCAGTTGTACTCACCATATGCCTTTTTTAACACCACCAATATTTGATGCTGTTACACTGACCCTTTGTCATATTCCTACAAATGAGGTTGTGGTCCTCTCATCACCTGTTACCAGGCTTCCTGGCTAAGGTTTCATCATCGGTGACCTCTGCCCTCCAGCACAAAGTGGAACAAACCCTCAGCAAATTTTGCCCCATAGCAGGCTGGACCAGCACCTCAGACAACAACACCATACAATTTTGTTGACAAGTTCGAACCATATGGCCAAGACCTGTCTATAGAAGAAACCAATACATTAGAACCTAAAAGCATAATAATAGGATGAATGAACGTAAATCAACATGGTTTTATAAAAGAAAGAGCATACCACAAAATACTACCTTTAGAAAGTGAGCAAAATTAAAAAGTCAATGAACAATGGGAATGCATTAGATTTACATTTGTAGTAACATTGTTTAGGAGTTCATGGGTAAGAAAATTTTCCCAAACAGTTTTTACAGATTAGCTCAGGTACAGGAAATTCAAATGTTTTCCTTAAGCCTCTACTTACTGTTACTTTATAGATACAATTTTGTTTTCATTTAATTTATCTTGTATTTAACTAGTCTTTAATGAGACTTTTGGTGCCTTACTGCCTGGGAAATTATTACTGACATTGGAAATATGGTGCTTGGTTAGGAACATTGTACTGAAGATACTCAGTTGCCAGACATATTGTAAACAGAGCATAATTACTGTATTTACAGTTGAACATCAAACTGGGAAGAGGTGCCAAGTGGCATTCTACAGAAGTTAATATTGGGACTGATACCATTTAATATCTTCCTTAATAATTTGGAAAAGGAAGTAAATTGTACATTGATTGAACATACAGTAGACACAAAATTAAGATGAACTGCAACACAGCAGGTGGGGAGGTTGAAAAAACAGAAAGATTGGAGATATAAGAGAGAAGGGCGTATTTAAGTGGGATGCAATTTAATGTAGATAAATGTAGAATAATAAGCTTGGGGAAATTAACACCCGGCTCAAGCATTCAAATGGGAAAATGCCAATTTTCGTTGAAAAAATTTTCAATAGATTTCACAGTTTATTCGCACTGAGAATTCACATTGGGGTATATGCATCAGGTCTGACAACTTGTTTGCTACATTCCAGCCTGATGTGATTTTTAAAAAGGAAGAAAAACAGATTCCACCCAAAACCTACCTTTTAAAATTCAATGTATTTTCTTTAAAATGTGTATATTCTGCTCATCAGATCTACTACATATATAGCAAAGTTGTAAGCTTCCACACACACATTCAGCAGCATGACATGTAGAGATCACTTGAAGGGGTGAGGTGGAAGTTCAGATGGCAACATAGTTCAGGGCCTTGTCACATACTCACTTGCAATGATTGCAAATCACTGGCATATTGTGACATATTAAAGTTAGTTTGTGTTAGGAAAGAACCCTTACCTGAAAGGAGATAACACTGCAATGTCACGAATCTCCCTGCTTGCATTTTAACTGCACTTGGCAAGTGTTAAATTGAAAGTGTGCCAACAACTGCCCCAACTGCTAACTACTGTTTCTCCCTTGGCTGATATAGTTCAGTGCTTTGGAAGCCATTGGACCACAGTTCTGCTTCTGCCATGGTCAAAATGTTTCAAGTGGCAGCATAGTGGAAGCTGGCACATGCAGCATAGTGAATCTGGAAAGGATTATTTGGCCACTGATTTCTTTTGATAAAAGCTCATTTTATTCCAGAAGCTAGCCAGCCTTTTGATGAAAGCTATGAATCTATAAAGTAAAACAACACGTAGAAGTCTAGCAGGTCATCCTAAACTAAACTAAGAACAATAAAAACCCCACACCACAAAAACTGAAATCATCGCTCCATCAACTATATAATGTAGAACTGAATATGCAGAACACTGAATTTTAAATATCATCCACAGGACTGAAACTCTCAAGAATATATTGTCCACTAAAATTAAGTTGCATATATATATAACATATTAGATTGTAGAAAAGTGTTTTCTGTGTACCAAGTTAAAACTACATAAGTTATTTCAATGGATCACTCTTGAGTAAGTGAAGAACACACAATCTTGTCCTGTTATGTATTTAATGATCCATACTCAAATGCAGTCAGACATTTTGCCACACAGAAGATTAGCTACAATATAAGAAAAAAAGATTATAAAAGTGAATACAGTTTGGTTAGGAATATAATAATCCAGTTATGGCTGACAGGTATGAAATAGCTGATGCAACAGCAATCAATGCTATTTTGTTTATTTATGTTAAAGGGCTGCTTACCAAGGGGAGCCATATATTCTGAAACCCCTCACTGTCACTTCAGAGTCCTGAAGATAGATGCAATTTGTTAGAAGAGACTGTACATTTTCATAGCTCTCTGGCTTCAGCTTAGATACAGATGGGAAGTAGTAAAAGTCCTGCTTGATTAAGTCTGCCATGAACTCTTGGTCAAAGGTCAGTTCATGATTTCCTGCTATTACAATCTTGTATTCATATGGAAGGCTACCTAAAATAATGAAAAACAGCAAATCTTAGTTATCTTTCAGTTTCAGGTACAAAAAAGAAACTCATAAGAGTACTGTACTATATAACCTCCTAGGCATTTAAAAGACTGAGATCCATAACTGTAGCCCTCATTGCCTTAATTGGGTATGACACTCATGCCTCCAAGGTCAGAAGTTGACTCTTCACTTGCATAGGATCACATGTGGTCACCTGACATTAATTTTTAACCTTAAAACAGACAGGTCTTCAGTAAAATGTATTTGGTATTCCTTACAGGTATGATTTATCAAGAGGACAGGGTTTGGGTTTAAAGGGCATTGGGCACAACTCTTGATAATCAACACCAGTTCTTTTATGGTGGCATTCTATTCTTTCCTGGCCATCTACAGGGCATTTTTGGTACTTACGTAGCCAGAGATATTCTATTCCTGGGCAGGCAGACCTGCAGACATGGGTGACTATGTTTGGGCCCGCTGGGAGTTGGGGAACTCTCAACTTTCCCTGCAAATAGCTGAGTGCCTAGGGCACTCACCTAGGAAGCTGCAGGGCATGGGTTCTGAGTTCCCATTCACTCTGAGGCTTTGAACTGGGTCTCTCAAACTTCCTAGCACAGCATTCTCCTTTTGAAGCTGACAAGAGGGAGATATGTGGGGCAGAAGGAAGTGAGTAAGCCAGAAGATGCGTGGTTCAGTGGAGTAGCTGCTGATTTGGAATGAAGACACCTGGTGTTCTAGCCAGGGCCATTGCTCCCAATGAGGCAAAAGCTGCTTCCCCTGCTTGCTCACCATCTTTTTTTCCCCCCAAGGACTATGTTAGTGGCTTAGCTTCAAAAGGAGCATGGAAGAAGGAAGCGAGTAATTGGTTCAAGCCCCCAAGAGCTCCACGCAGTGCCCTAGCCACTGAGTTACAGGGCAAAAGAAAAGACACAAATGCACACCTGTCATTAGGTCTGTCCTAAAAACGTCAAGAATAAAATTACACACACATACCCTAGGAAATGTTTACGTATTAGGAGCCTGCTGTGACTACATGCAATAAACACCCCACATGGTGGGAACATTTGCAGCAAATAATGTTAACTAGATAGGTAAATCAAATCAGTGAACGCTACTCAACAACTGGCTTGGGGCATGCACTGTAAAGAAGTGAGAACCCCCAGGTAATCCGCACGTGCACACTCAGATGCATTGCATGACATCTGCACTGCAACAGAAAATTCCTACCAACCTCCACACAATATTCCCAGCTGGATCCTGTACTTAAAATCAGGGATCACCACTCGTAAATATCCCATGTCCCAGCTACATTATCAACCTGTGTGTGTGCATGAACATGCACATGCACGCTCACACACATGCACGTGCATGCACACACACAGGTTGCATGTGCACATGCACACACACAAAGAGGTTGATATTGTAGCTAAAGTGGACCTACATATATGAGCATCTATTAACTAGGTACAGCAATACTAGTATCCTTGACAAACAGAAGGAAATTGCATGCCATGGTACTGTTAACAATTCCATTTCTATTCTGTTTTCTAAATCTTTTCCAGCTCATCTGATCCATCCATCTAGAAGCCAAGAACCTGTATGAGCTGGTTATAGTTGTTGCTTCCACTAATGTATTTATGTCATGTTGCTGTCTGTGGGTGTTACTTAGGCAAATTAGCAAATTACTCTAAATGTACAGTGACATTTATTATAGTAGCAATCTGAAGCACTGCTGCAGTTACAGGTCTGTCAGATTTTCAATTAACAACTCTGTTTTTGATGAGTTTGCAGCTCAGTTTTTTATTTTCATTCCATACCCAGGTAGTACTTGCTACATTTATCTTCTCCCTTCATCCCAGCAAAACGCACTTCTTACTTTGATTAGGACATGACTAAAATAGCTAATTTTTGCTGTTTTTACACACTTTGGTTGACCTTACAAATCCTGTTCCTACCATGATTTACAGACAATCTTAAATTTTCATGCTACCTACTCTTATTGTATACAGTTAAGCACATGAAGAATCAGGGCCTACTTTGTATAGAAGATCCTGACTGTATAAAAGACAGAAGAATGCTGGTAGGTTTAGTATAGAGGATCAAAGCAGTGAGATTGACTGAAATAAATGTGCTGACTGATTTTGATATATATATATATATAAATGCCTACGGGATCTGTGCAAGAACAGATGCGAGTGTGCTGGTGAGTGGAGTGTTCCTTTCTGCCCTAAGTCTAACATGTTATAACACTAATGATAAGTTTAAGGCAAATGTAGAGGCCTTCTTGGTGCTGAATATTGTACACAGTACTCTGCCTGATCCTCTTACTTCTGAGGTAGTGGTAAAATTCCCCTTGTTTTTATTATGTACAGAATAAGGCACTGAGCCAAATCCCATAAAGTGCCCTCTGCCTTTTAAATACCCTGCCTTGAAGGACTATGTTCTTACAAAACAAAAATAACAAATTTTTGTCACAAATTTCCATGTTAACCATTAATTTAAATCAGCAACTTTCTAACCTATACACATCTCATACTGAAATTAATCTGAAGGAAGCCCTTTCAAATCTTTTAATATGATTATTATTTTTCTTAATAATTTTTATTTAAAAACATATTAAATATTAGGGATACTTAAGAAAAACAGCAAAATAATTTAAAAAAGCCTGAACCATTGATTTAAGAAAAAAAATCCTCACTAGGTTCTCTATGAAAATGAATGCATATTCATCTGCAGTTAATTTGGAAATTAATCTAATCTCATAGCTATTGAAACATTTGCATAATATTTTTTGAATTTTTGAATCTTTGACAAATCATTATGCCGTTGTACAATGCCTAACATTTCCATCAATAAGTAAGGTGAATTTATTGGTTTGCATTTCATGTTTTAATTAGAGGTGCAAACTTTGAGACAGACATTTTGGAAAGTATTACTAACTGGATGTTCTGACTCTAACCCACTGCAGATAAACAACTGAATAAGATGTATCTACTTAAGGCACTAAAAGCTTTTCTTATTATCTACTTAACAGGCTACATCAGGATAAACACATGACTGATGCCTACCTATCTTTAAACACGTTGGGCACATCCACACATGCAGACACATGTGCTTGCAGCAGCTCAAACAGAAGCAGTGAAAATCTGAGCCGGGGCTTTTTGCCTCAGCGTATGTGCCTGGACACTCACTTTGGTGTGGTGCAAGTTGTGCCACTTGGGGAGCCTGCCTGGCTTTTCCCGGATCTGCAGCCAGGGGCCCCAGCAGTGTAAAAAGCTGCCCTCAGTGTAAAAAGCTGCCCTGACCTGGCCCCTTCAGTACAAAAAGCTGCTCTGGCAAGTAGCTCAGGGCTACTTGCTCTCAGGAGCTTCTGGGTTGTGGCCAATTGGTACCTGGGGACACTACCCCTTGTGCCAGCAGGACAGCTGAAGCAGTTCTGAGAGTTCCCTGCAGCAGTCTGGCAGTGGGGGCTGCTGCCTGGCTGTGATCTGCTGCGTACCTGCCAGACCCAGATAGGGACTGCACAGCTAGTAGAGGCATCTTCCCCTCTGGGCCAGCTGCCAATGGGCTGTGGCTGAGGAGTTGGTCTTTGTGTGATACTACTGCCATGTGTGCCCCTGCCTGGCCATCTGGGCAGTTATTGCCCAGAAGATGTTCCCAATGTAGTGGCCTGCTTTGAACTGTCAAAGCATGTCCTCCTGGTCCCAACTGGCCAGGAGGTCAGCCTCCAACTGGGCCCAAGGTGCTAGCTCTGAGCAGGCTCCTCTGCATGGGTCCTGCCACTTGCCTCCCTAGCAGGAATTCTGGTGTTCCCTATTTGAAAACTGAAAAATCCCTGATAAAAAATCCCAAAGTCACTCTGTAAAATACCCTAAAATCCATGTTCCTCCACAATTAAAACAAAAGACCATTATGTATAAAGACAGAGCGAGACAGAGAGACAGCGATCAGTTAGGCAATGTTTTATTGATATATCTACAGTGTTAAAGCAATTTGGAAGCCTACCAGTGTCTCTATCATCATAATAAAATAAATTCTAAATACCTATGTTTTGCTGTTTGCCTTTGGTTTTACCACAGAGCAGTTAGAGCTCCCTGTGACCCCTTCACTAACCAGGATGTGAGGACAGCTGCCCCTGCAGCCACAGCTCCTGCCAGCAGGTCTCATCCTATCTGGCAGCTAAGCACATGGGTTGTGCGCTGGGGGGATGTAGGGTTTGTAGAACGGGGGTGAGAAGAGGGGTGGGAGGATGTGTGTGGCTGTGGGTGGATCATGGGGAGACTGTGGGGGGTGGGGCTGCTCAGGAGGGGTGGGTCCCCTGTCCCCTGCAGGGCATAGACCCCCTGCACAGCTGATGGACTG